TGGGTTCATTGCCAGTTAACTTGCCCAACAAATGTCTGTGCTGTTACTGCGGTTTTGCCTTGGCATCCAGGTGCTTTGCTGCAAAACACTGAATGCATACCATGGCAAGGTAGTTCTCCGCATTCTTGTACACCAGCAGACCACTGGGGATCAGTTTTCACCATATAACACCATTCTTCATACTTTTTGGGAACCATAAAATCAGATGATGCCCTTGTCCCTGATCCTGGTGAATCCTAATTGGAGGATGGTAATCCATTCGCACTGCAGACAATGACAGCACTGCCAGCAGTTACTGCTAACTCTACCTGTGCCCAAGTTTAGCCAGGAGGGCATCTGGGGAGAAGAACTGCCCCATGCAGTCAGGGTGGATGTGGTCATGTTTCATGGGAAACCAGAAGAAAATAGGACAGAAATCTGAGCTGGGTCAACCTGCCCTTGTGATGACGTGTACCTACCTATGTCCTCTCCCAGGTATTGACACCAGTGAGTGTTCATGGAATAGGTGAGAAAGAAAATGTTGAGTTTGTCACACCAGCCTGTGGTACTCAGCAACTCATGCCCAATATGCAGAGAAATGTCCTTTCTTAGCAACACTTCTGAAAGTTTGGTTTTTAAAACAGATATTCAGGAAAAGATTTATTGAGGTAAGTTTCTGGTCTTGTGGCACAGGACCTGAAAGTACCTGGCAGAAGCTTTTAAGTGTTTTTCTTCATGTTTGAGAGCACAGAGCAAAACTCATTTAAAGACTTCCTGTTTCCCTGCTGAGTCCCAGCAAACTCAGCTTGGACATGTGACATTTCCAGGCCTGGACACTGTCAAGGGGCCTAGTAATTTCTGTATTCTGGAGATAAGATAGGAGACTCAATTGATATTTCACCTGTTCTGCAGTTAGTTTGCCAACACCTTGGAAATCTGATTAGTATGAAGCGCTATTACCTTTATTCAAATGTATTTTCTTTTGCTTGCCTTTATTCAAATTTCATTTTTCATTTTGCTACAATACCTTTCCCAAGGCCAGGATTTGGATAGATGGTCTCTCAGACTACTGCTGATGAAGTGTGAGATCATAGAATCACAGAGGAGTTTGGTTTGGAAGGGATCTCAAAGCCCACCCAGGCCCAACCCGATGAATGACAGAAGGATGGAAAGGATTTGGTGCTTTGTTCCTCTGCTCTCTGTGTGCAGCCCAGGGCCACATTCACACCTGGGGCCTAGGAACTGAGCTGCTGGGAGTGGAGCTGCAAATGCAAGCTCGGCTCCAGCAGCCAGGAGAAGGGATCTGGCCTGCAGGTGCAAAGTTGGCATGAGATTATTGTTTGCGCCCTTTTTCCCAGATTCTTTTTGCACTGTTAGATGAGAAACAGATAATAAATGCTTGAGAAAACAGTGCCAGGACAAAAAGTCAAGTCAAATTGAAGGTTTCTAAGCTGGCTGTTACCATGGGCCTGAATAAAGACCACAGGTTTGAGGTTTATGTGCACAACAATGAACCAGAACAGCTGCTGAATCAACCGTTCCCCTGACAAATTACCATGCCACTGGAAGCTGGAGGTCATAAGGAAAAAGGAAATAGGAGCTAAGACTTAGGGAACAATGTGCTAGATCCTGTGCTGATATGGCTTCCTTTGACCAAGGCAGATGGGTTACATTTATTTTTGCAGAGCAAAGACCTGTGGATCTATGAAGAAGATGGGGATAGAGGTCTGAAGGCCATAGGCTGTGATATGGAATAAAACACTCAAAAATGGAAAACATGGCAGTATGGGGAGGCAGAATTAGTACTATGGATGGGGCTGTGCTTAAGACAGAGGTATGAACTACATATTTGGTAATCATGTGCTGCTGAGTCCTTGGGATCAAATCAGAATGAATGCTTACAGCTGGACTAATGAGTCATGTTTTTCTTGTATAGAAGTATGAAAGCTACTGCACCTCAAAACAGCATCAGAATGAGAATCCAATTGGACCTCAGTCAAAATCAAACTGCATTTCTGTGAAGATCGGCTGTGCATGGTCTACCAATTCCGTAACTGCTATTATAATGAGTTAAGCGTTTTTCAGAATAAATGGTCTCACATTAAGGTGCCACATTTTGTTTTGCTTGGCTTTAGGTCTTGTAAGGTTGGTGGCCCTACTCCAGTGTGTGGGTTTTGCAGACTGAGCGGAAGAATTACTGCAGCAAAGCTGGGTGTGCCTATGAAAATAATGCACTGTAGCCCAACCAGAAAATCTGGGTCTGCTAGAGAAAGCATTGCACGAGAGTCATCATTCTTTCTTCTGCTAAATCAGAGCAGATGGCCACCGTGTTCACTTTTGTATTTAGTATTTATGCATTTTCCGTAAGATTTATATGAATTTTGCCTTTTCTGTCATCTGAAGCACATTCAAAAATGCCTTGAAGTTGAATGCTGCCTTGAAATGCAACCGTTCTTGCAAGCTCTGCCCTAGAACTACCATGATTTTAGTTATTTGCTAGAGTATTTTGGCAGGCTATGGGCCTTTGCTTCTTGCCATTGAAGACAGTTGAGTAGGACCATTTTTCCACTTGAACCTGCCCACAAGGCCAGCCAAGCAGGCAGGACAGCTTCAGTTTCAGGGAAAACAATCCTGCCTGTTTCACTGGTAAAACACAACGTGACCTTTCCCAGCCTCCTCTGCAAAGCAATTGCATTTGTGCTGGTTCCTTGAGCAATTGCTTGAGAAAGGCTTCATAGAGGTTTCACATGCGCAGCTGATGGCTCCAGCTGGATAAGGAGATTAGCAAGTGAGTTTGGCTCAGCGATAACGACGTGTAAAACTGAAACAGGATACCATAGAAATATGATATAAGATAATTTCAGTTATCAGCTGTAAAGAATGTTCTGCTTACTTCTGATTGCTCATATCTTCTATTTTTATCGGCTTCCTCCTGCTAGTCTTTGTGTGTGTTTCCCGGTATAGCAGGTCTGACCCAACCAACTGCTAATAAAGATAACACTGATAACTATAAAGTGAGGTGGGGGAGCTCATTTCAAGCTTGTGCATTGGGGTTATCTTTGACAATGAATCATTTTCCACATGGAGTTCTTAGTACCAGGGGTTTGATCTCCCATACCAGCACTAAGGATTTCTTACATGTACAACAAGTACCTAGTCATCTTAAAGCTGAGCTTTGTCTGTCTATATATACTGAAACAGGTTGCCCAGAGATGTGGATGCCCCATCCCTGGAAACTTTCAAGGTGAGGCTGGATCAGGTTCTGTGGTGTCCCTGTTCATTGCAGGGGAGTTGGACTAGATGACCTTTAAAGGTCCCTTCCAATTCTAAGTATTCTGTGATTCTATGATCCCATACAAATATATCCTCAGATAAACAGATGAACATGTTACCATTCAGGCAAATGACTGCATGCTGCTGGAGAAGGGCAGCTGCACCCTGCTGCATGCTGCAGCTCACACCATATATGGCTGGTGAAGGTCTTCTTTGGTAGGTGATGTTGCTGTGACAGTTTTGCAAGCACAGCCAAAAGAGATGTGCTTGGGGCTGGGGAGCTGCAGCAATCATAGAGTTAACCAGTCTAAGCAACTTAGCCAGATTTCCAAGGCAGGCAGAAAAGGGAAGAAGAGGGACACCTTGGCCACCAATGGCCACATAACCTAGTTACAACTGTTCTGGAGCTTCTTCCTTCTCAGGCATGAGGATTGATCTGTCCCTCTCAGAGGTACGACATAGACTCTTGTCCACATTTATGCTGTACTGCACTTATCCACATATCTTCATGTAGCTTTTGTTGCACATAACTTCCAAGTTAGTCTGAAACTCCACAAAATTTTCCAAAATGTATGCAAGAGAGCACTTTCTATATTAATTCTTTGCCTTTGGTTAAGACTTTTTGTGCGTTAGCATCACATCACTGCTAACAAAGTAGGGCTTAAATTCAGAATGCCATTTTTATACAATTCCATATTTCAGAATGCCCTTTTGAGTATAATTCCTTTTATATAAAGCATAAACAGCTAGTGAGCAATACCTATGCCTGGAGGTACACTCATTGGGCCAATGAGCAGCAAGGCTGCCAACTGGAATAAGCCATTGGTGATGAAGGCAGGGACTTAAGCTATTGCGGACTTGAGAAAAATAAACCTCTGACCATTCCCCTGCCTATTTTATGTCCCCTAAGCAACAAAATTTGAATTTGAGGCAACATTTGTGCAACATTTGCCTAATGACTTTAACCTTCTTCCATCTCTCTGATTAAATAAGAAATCCTCAAAAAAAATCAGAAAATACAATCACTGTCGTATTGGTAACAATGTGATAGGTTTTGTGTATGGCAAAGGTGATGAGCAAGTGAACTAATCACACATTTGTAGGTACTCCTTGGCCAACCTGTGCTTTTATTGCACGAAGTCAGGGTGTCAGCCTTCCTGCATTAATCAGTTGTAATGACAGAGGAAGCAGTAGCTGTGTGGAAGTCCTGAAGGATGCTCTGCAATGCAGACTGCAGCTGACTCTCACTTCTCATCTCCAAAACTGTTATTACATGATCCAGAAAGGCATTTTGGAGCCTTTTTCAAGAAGAATACAGAGAGACCAGGCTGACCCGACTTCTATCTCTCCTGTGATCAAAAGCATCCTTTCTAACCTTAATAATCTGCATCAACAGAGCATCCCAAGATGCTCTTTTTGGGTGAGATACCCAACCAATGCCTTGTGCAGAGCCAAAAGACCTTCCTCTTTTGTTGTACTGAACACCAGAGTCAAGCTGCCTGATAAATTGCAAAACCTGCAAGTTTACTTGAGGTGAAGAATTTGTGCCTGACATTTTATTGTTTCTCCTGATCTAGGTGTACTGGGACATATCCCAGTACTCAGGCCTGGCCCTCATTAATAGGATGTAGAAATGTGACGGGTGAGTGGGTGCCCATCAGGTAGAATCGGCGCTCTTTCTGCAAGCTTATGAAATAGCTCAGAAGAAAAACTTCTAAGGCAACATTTGTAATTAATATTTTATTGTTTTTTCACAAGTGAAAAATGTATGGGAAGAAGGAGAAAGACTGAAAGGTAATGTGAAGGTCCATTGTGGGAGTCTACATGTGACACAGAAAGGTGCTTTGTAGCCTGGTTACAGAGAAAAACATTGTGACTAAGGCACAGTGGTTCCTCACTTATTAAAATAAATAAAATGGTAGAGATAAAATTAAAAAAAAAAAAAAGAAGTGGAAGCTAAGTAATGCAGACAATGACCTTGTCACAAATAGCTACACTGGGCCTATTAAAATAAGGTGATCAGCAAGTGCCTCAGCCCAAAATACCTGAAAGCACCTGGAGTGGAAGGAGAGCTGCAGGAGGCAGACCTTTTGAAATGCTTAATGTTCAAAGGTTTTAATGTAATGAAGGCCATTTTTAACGCAGGTTTAAACATTTTCAGCAATGCTTCGTGGGTCTACACCTAGATAACCAACAAGCGAGAGAATTTGCACTCTCACTGAGGGCAGGAAGTAGAAGCAGTATACAGACTGCATGGTGAGAACCCAAAAGGGCAGTGCCCAAGCCAAGAAGTCCACAGTTATCCAAAGCTTGGCTTGGTCTACCTTCCTCTAGCGGAGACAAAGGCTCAGATAATTAAGCCAATAGATATATTCCAAGCTGTTCAAGACACTTAAAACATTGGTCTCACCCTCAGCTTAATGGTAGGCACCATACAAATATATTTTTAAAAATACACCATGTTTTCAATTGTCCTAAGTTTAAGTATCATGGGAAGATAAACATGGCTGGAATGCTACTTTAATGAAAGTACAGTGCTCTGCATCCCTTGCCTATCCAAATATTTGGTGGTGATCTGCCCCCACTTTGCCTTTGCCTTGCCTTTGAAGCAACTGCTCTGCATGACTTTTTTTCAAGCCTTTCCCACTTCTTCTCACTCTCTGGTAGTTAAAAATGAGATGTACATCTGTAGAGTAGAAATAAAAAATCCCCTCCTGCCCAGACCATTGCTTCTTTGGTCCCATACAAGAAAGCTACGTTGCTATTTTAAGTAGTGCAGTATTCAGAGCAGCCATATTTCTGCCTGATAGCAGAGACAGCCAATATTTGCTGTTTGAGCAGCAGAGTTCAGCTGCTGCCTTCTCCCTGCAGTTTGGTGTACACAGTCCATGGAAGGAGGGCATATGGAGGACACAGGCAGGAATACCTTGCTGACATGGACCTCACATTGGATAGTTCAAGAAATAAACAGCTGTGCTAAGGGGGCTGCTCTTGGGGGCTGGAGAAACAGCTCATAGGCACACACATAAGCTGCTTTCATGACTAAATAGCAGAGATCTTGAGAAACCAATTTTCACAGTGTGGAAATCCACTTTGCAACCAAAGGCTAGCACCTAGGTCTTCTGCAATAACTAAAGGTGATTGAGACTCACAACACTGTACGTTACTCAGTCCTTGTACAAAGGTGGATATTGCTTCTGAGATCGACCTGGATCCACAAGAAGGAAAAACATAAGTACTCTGCAAGTCTTATCTGGGGTACACAATGTGAGTTAAGGACAGTCACTAAAAAAGTTCCCTCCAAAGTCTACATTTTTCCACAGAAATGATTTTCAGCAAAAATAAAGCAAATCCTTTTTTAAAAAAATTCTATCTCAAAAAGGTACATGATTCTCAGAGAAACTACTCATCCATAACACTGTACAGTTTATATAATGATTATTCAAAAATCCAAAGAAAATCTTTCTGCTACATTTTCTTGGAAGACAATCGTCTTACTTGAAAACAATTGCCTAAACAATACTTGGCTGTTAATATCTCTAGCTTATGCTTGATCCAGTTTGTTTTGAAGTATACTGACTACTGCAAGAATTCATGCTGGCAACACCAACAACTGCATTTCTTACCAGGTGAAGCTGATGAATCTATGATACTCCTATTGGTGTGTCCCCTTCCCTGACCTTACAATGACTGAAACAATGTGGTCAGACAACTTTGCAGCACCTGAGTCATCACAAACCCATCAGCTTCACTGTCATCTCTGTAATTCAATCTGTCCTAGACCAGCACCAGGAGCTTGGCAGGTGGGAAGGCAGCTAGCCTGGTTCATAGCAGATATCGCTTGGGTTGTCCCCATGCAAAGTTCAGTCCTTTCTCCCATTTGGCTAGGAAGACTTCTCCTCAGGAATGTGTATGCTTGGCTGCTCTACTGCCAACTGGTTTTCAAAGACACAGCACAGCTTGTAATTTTCTATAAGCTTTGCTTGAAAATATTCCTGGTCCTTCTTGTGCCAAATGTCTGTTGCAATGTACATGTTGTAGGGGTTGTGGGAGTCTTCCAGCCTCCTAGCACGGATATTGGTCACCATGACTCCCACTGTGAAGAAGCCAAAGAGACCGACCATCATCAGCACATAGATGATTTCCAGGCTGCCGCCAGTGCTTCCAACTGTAGAGGGGGCAGTGCTATTTGTCTGCTCCAGGTGGTCTTGAAGCAGCTTGGAGAGGAGAATGCTCAGGGCTGTGTCATTAGACAGCACCAACATCTTTTTTCTTCGGTCCTTTGCCCTTCTTTCTTCCCTAGTTTCCCTAGAAAAGAAAAAAAAACGAGGAACATGCTGTTAGACAAAGATGCGATTCTCTCTGCCTCACTGGTTCCCCCAGCAAGAAAGCTGTCTCAGAGAGTCAGGGCCTGAGAAAGTGCCTGAGAGGCCTGCTTACTTCCTCCTTCCAAGCAAAGCCAGTGCGGATGTGTCCATCCCCTGCAAATATTTGTCTTAAAAAGCCTTCATGATACCAAGTCCTCAGTCTCCACAAATAGTCTATTGTGGCACTTTACCGCCCCAGCCATTGGCCACTCACCCAGCACAGGCCTACGCTCCTGCTGCTTACAGCCCATGGCTTCTTCCTCAAGCTCCACATGCACCAGGAGTGGCTCACTCCCATGCTACAACAGCTGCTTTTGGTTTTGAGGGTTGTTATCCTGGCTTCCTCTCTTTCCTATACCAGAACTGAATCTGGAAACAAAACTTCCGTACCTGATATGGAAATAATTTGGTATCTGCAGCATGCATCACGCATCCACCTCTGTTGAAGAGCTTTATCTTCTGCAACCCTTGTGGTTATGGATATACCATACAGAGACTGAACAACCAAACATCTGAGATACATTTATCCCAAGCTTATTTAATGTGAATTCCCACTGGGCATTTGCCCAAAGAGGGTGTTTACAGGGAGTTAACTGCCTACCAAGCAGTGGCTGCTACTGACACGCAAGAAAAACCTTTTCCCTCTACCCTCCCTCTTGCAGGCAGACAGGCCTCCCCTAGGCAGTTCAGTGCTTTCTCCTCCAAGCTAAATTGCTGTGCAACCTGTGTTTTATTGTATGATTAGGAGAACTTTCACTGGCATTGCTGCAGGAGATGGCTCTGCCGAGAAGCAGTGAACAACCAAAGCCTCCCAGCCACAGCCTTCTGTGCTGACAGCCCTCTACAAGAATGCTTCTCACTACAAGAAAGAAACTCGGTCCCTGGAGCATGTCCAGAGAAGGGCAATGAAGCTGTTAAGGGTCTGGAGCACAAATCTGATGGAGGGTGGCTGAGGGAAGTGGGGTTGTTCAGTCAAGATTCAGGGCAATCCTCATCACTCTCTACAACCACCTGAGAGGAGGTCATGGTGAGGTGGGGGTTTGCCTCTTCTCCCAGGTCACAGTGACAGGATGAAAGGGAATGGCCTCAAGTTGCACCAGGGGAAGTTCAGGTTGAGCATTAGCAAATATTTCATCTCAAGGCTGCCAAGGGAGTTGGTGGATTCAATGTCCCTGGAGGTCTTAGGAGCCATGTGGGTGTGGCACTGAAGGACATGGGCAGTGGGCATGGTGGGGATGGAATGATGGTTGGACTAGGTGATCCCAGAGGTCTTTTGCAAACCTTAATGATTCTGTAATTTTAGGAAGTTGAAGGGTCCTTTTCCCCTTTAAATGTTAGCTGTGAATCTTTTAACAACAACTCTATCACCACTGTAGTCCCAAAGCCTCAACAGCCAGGTAACACAACTGACAATCTCATTACAATGCCTAATTCAAACAGCTCTAGAAAATTCAGACAACAGTTTCTCCCTGTTTTTGCCCTTAACATGTGTGAATCAAGGTACCGTTATTCAAGATAACTTCTGTGACAGCAATCTTGTAATAACATAAGACGGCTGTCAATGCTTTCTACAGTTTTAAATATATGATAGCAGGTCAGCCTGCTAGCAAAAGCTTCTACAGCATGAGTTTTCTGTTGTGGTTTTGTGGTTTTTTGGTTTTTTTTTTCCCTTTGGTTGGTTTGCTTTATTTTGTTTGTAAGAAGTACTGTTATGTTCATTTATAATACATCAAGAATGAAATGAACCCTTGGGCACAAAGCCACCAAAAGACCCAGGCAGCAATTACATCTCTGCGTGAGGGCAGCATTAATGATACATGGCTGGTTGTGCAGGACTTCTATGCAATAGGGATGTTAGCTGTGCACACAGCCTCCAGCTGCTGGTAATGACACTGCAGTGGATGTGAAGTGTCTGGAGGTTTCTCTCAATTGTCTGTGCCTTGTTATAGCACAAATGCTGTAGAAGGAGATGTTGAGAGAGAAGAAATGAGAAAAGAACACTTATCTTGTGACCTCCTGTCCCACATGTGGAGAGAAGTAATTTACTCTGTTCTGTGCTCTGGCAGCTAAATGAATTATGTAATCAATTTAGACATTAATATGATCAAAAATAGTTGTAAAAATTAATTGCTAGTGCAACCGTCTATGCTGATTTTAGCACCAGATTTGTCCAAACCATTTTACTAGATTTCCATGCTGTGCAGTCATGGATTTGAGGCCAGGACTCATTGCAAGTCAGATGCTCAGCCCAGGATGATAATTGTCGTGAGGAAAGTTTTGCTTTCCTCATCACACATTCCCTAGTAACAGCCCACAAATGTCATCAGCTCACACCACCTGAACCCAGACTCCTACTCTTGGTGAGTGAGTGACCTTGGGGAGCTCAAGGGAAGCTTTTGCAGGCTCAGACTCTCACCATTCTGAGCACTTCCTGAGATGAGCTGCCTTTGCAGCAGGAAAAGTAAGCACACATGGGAGCATGCCTTGGTATTTTGGTTTTAAATAGAGATGAGCCTGGGGGTGGCAGAGGGAGACAAAATCCCCTCTACAAACAATATTCTGATCCAACTCATTTCTTCAGTTGCATGAGTCAAAGCTACAGGAAATAACATCTTGGCAGCTTGAGCTCAATAGTTAAAATTCATTCACTTTTCACAGCTGTTTTCAGATCCTTTAATAAGGGAAGGAAGAGAAAAAGAAGCTTAAACCTTTATCTGAGATTACTCCTCCTAAGTGCATAGAATGTGTCAACACTGTAAAATGTAGAACTGCTAATAAATATCATTGCAATAACTACTTGTTGCCAGCCTGGCTCTATCTCCACAGCCACATCAGACTAACAGGCTGAGGGAGGGAAGAAGCACACTCTGGTTCCCAAGAAAGACAGCTCCTCCTGAAACATAAGCAAGCCTAAAGGTCTCATCTACCATTTTATAAGCATTGTTCAGTTCCACTGAAATCCATTTAGAGCTGCAGTACGCAGGACTGGGAAGAACTGATTGTATCACCATCTAGCCCATGACAGATGGAAGTCACAGTGTCCTCAAAACTTTGTTCCCCACTCTCTGCAGATGTCTGCTGATGGGCTGCAAATCATCATCACTGCCCCAATCCCTTGTGGAGCTCCTCTGAGGAGCTCCACATAAAATTGCGAGCATCCCAAAATCTGTTGGCCATGGGTTGCAACCCCTGTAAGCCACCTTACAGTTGCAGTGTGTGGCAGGTGGTTACACCTCCTGTCGCCTCTATGTTTTGGGGGACAAGCACTGAGCAGTAGTAGTAGTTCTCTGCCTGGTGTTAAAAATGGCCTGGAGCAAACACTGTTAACAGTTCAGCAGCTCTCTCAATGGGCAATGATTCAGAGGGAATTCCCTAAGGTTGATAACAGCCTGAGGTACATCCTGCTCTCAAGTGTGTTGCTGCTTCTCCAGCTGTTAGGCAGGTCAAATGTGCCTCCAAAGCAAAAGTAGAGGGCTCAGTGCAAATTTATTTTTAACACCGAAGTTTCCCAACTGTGCAGATGTACTGCTGGCTTTGCTCAAGCTCATCTTTCATTGAATGTCAATGATGACCTGAGCCACTCCCCCATTGGCTGTGATCCACGGCATCAAGAGTTGAAATGAACAGGTTCTAAGCAGGTGTAGAAGCATGCCTTCAATCTAACCTTAGTGCAGACAGGAGGATCCTAGGACAGTGTTTGCTTTCCTGACTGATGGCTGGAATTGCTTGGGATGCCTTCAGCCTGGCTGCTGTTCCAAGCAAAAGTTTCCCCAGGGAAGTATTTGCATAGGTAGGCTGCTACTTGCAACTGGGGGCTTCAACAACGGGGAAAAAACAATCCAAACCCAACAACAGCTTAGAGCTGTGAAGTATTACAGCTGCAACATGCAAGCCTATGAGATGTCTGTGAGATGCATAGTCTGATTCTGCTTTGGGTCTGTGACGAGACCAAGCCAAACTGGAAGAGCGTGCAGTGCCCAGCTGGGCGCTGAGGCAGTTGCATTCACCCTGCTGAGGAAGTAGGACTGTGACAGGGTATCTCTGCAGAGCTGCAAATTGACATTTGAGTTCAAGCAAAGCAATTAGCAACTGCAGAGCATCTGGCACTTAATATTACTTCTGTCTTCTTTATAAGCATCAGAACTGACTTATGTCTGGCTATTTCCCAAGAAAGGCAGAAGAGTATGAGTCTGTGTGTTGCAAGGCAGGCTGCAGACTGCTCTCCCAACCTAGGTGCCTCTGCACAGAGATCTGAACCAGCTGGAGCAGCAGCCACAGCCCTGCCTGTGCTCCACCTGGGGCTGTGCTGGGCTGGGTCCCAGCAGTGGACCCTCACAGACCACCGGGGTCTAAAAAGTAAAGAGGCGATTTTCTGTCATGTACCTAGAGGATGTGATTCTCAGCTTTGGAGCCCAGTGGGGATTTTTCATCCAATACAACATAGGCAAATTGGTTTGCTTTGACTAGTGGTACCTCTCTTCCCTGCTGAGTTAAAATGTGGTATTATGCAGGCAGAGGTGGATGTTAAATGACAGATGCTTGTCTCCCATTGCCATCTTCTCAGCTCTCCTAAATCAAAGGACCTGTATTTTAATTTATACCAAGCAAACATCTCCAACAATCTCTCTCTCACATTGCTGCCACGAGCATCAGTAACCAAGCAGCAGAAACGGAGACTCCAGAGGCATTTATACGTTTAGAAAATACACTGCAGCAGCAACTTCTCAAGAACTGACGACACACAGAAAAGCCTATTGTACTCTGGCAACAGAAGTCAGCACAGCACATTGCCCACCTCCCAGTTCTGTAAAGCGATTAAAGTTCCTCCAACATTAAAAGGTAATATATTTCCTGACCTCATTTCTCTGCCTGTTCATTAGAGGGATGGGTAGGTCAGACAACAGCTTTCTGGAAAGCAGAGCATTGCACAAGATAGACTCC